ATACCGAGGGAAGCCAACAAGGCATAATAATAGTCTATGCGAGAAATGTTGAGGTTGTTCAAGATCCATCCTCTATGGCCATATCTCTCAGTCAGATCAGAAACCGCGGTCAAAATAAAACTGCCAAGGAAATGTCCAACTCCTAAGCTGGTAGTGAAATAGGAGGTCCCAAGGCTTTTCAATCCCAGGCGGTTGTTGGTCATAGAAAAACTCTATCTTTGCAACTTCTGCGAATGAATCGGTGACCCCCATCAAAGCAAACTGGGGTAGGAGTATGAAAATACTGAGGGGAACTATGTCGTCTTTATCGAGTTTATGATTCTCTCGTGCAACGCTGATCCTCTTCCTTTCAACGAAGCAAGCAATTATCATAACAGTGATCTGCGGAACAAGGCCAATTCCCATTCTTTGAAGCAATGTAATTCCTCTGGGGTTCTTGGTGTAAAGCCTCACCGTTGGGACAAACAAGCGATCATATATGGTGATGCTGATCAACATCAAGATGGTAACGAATGCGGTGAGACAAGCAGGAGGGATTTTGAAATGGGGTCCCATCGTAAGGTCAAGAGTGGTTGCTTGCTTGACAAACAATGTAGCCACCTGAGCTAACATGGTGCTTGGTATGAAAGTTGCTATCAAAAGTGGGATCATTTTTGCCATCCGCTTGGTTTCTTCGACTTGGGTCACTGGACACAGCATCCATGGTGAGTTTGACCCGCTCTTTACCGCAGCTTTGTCGAGGAATCTGCCGGTCAAGCAACAATAGCTAGTCAGTCCAAGTCATTTATTCTGGTAAAGCAGGGAAAGTTAAGAAGTTGAAATAGAGAAATCAACCTTAATGAAGGGTGTGATCAATTCTGAATTTCTTAGATTTTGAGTAATCTTCCGACCTGAGTTCATGTAGCTCTTAGGGGTCACTTGGAACAGGAACATTCCACTTACTCACAGCAGCCACAAGCACTTGGAGAATCCTGGTAAAAGTACCCAAAGACATTTTGTGTCTGTAATACGGAGTTCCCACTAAGAACACCAAGATCGAGATCATTAGACCAGCTGTTGGCAGACCATAACCGAGGCCCCAACCCGCATGGTCTTGAATGTAGATCAAGAAAGTGTTGGAGAAGAGGGTGCCGAAGAAGATGCTGAACATCCACCGGTTGAAAAAGGATAGCTTTTGAACCCTTTCCTTGGGCCAGAAGTCATCGAACTGGTCTGTACCCATGGTGGAAATGTTGGGCTTGGTTCCACCGGTTCCTATTGCAATTATGTAGAGTGCACAATAGAATAAGCCTTTCTGCAAAGGCGAGGCTCTTTTGTTGCAGTCTTCTTATTTGATCCAATTACCACATGATGGAGGCCTCAATGCAGGCACGGAAACTGCCAACGTTAGGAGCGATATTCCCTGTTTATTTTCATCGGTATGGAATACAATTTATTATCATCCATCTAAATTTGTTCGAGTGAATATACACAAGCAAGAAAACGAAGAAACTGAGTATTTTGTTTCAGGGAAGGTAGTAGTATTATGGTGACATAAATGGCTGATGCAATAACAAAAGTCCAGTATCGACCCAGATGAGCATCTGCAATGTAAGCGCCTAAAATCGGGGTCATCCACACTATTCCGACCCAGTTGTTGACGTTGTTTGCCGATGTTACCGTTCCTTCGTGGAGCTTTTTCGTCAAATACAGCACCAGGTTCGATGCTATACCGTAATATGCCATCCTCTCAAACACTTCGTATCCTGCAATATTCAATTAAACCATCAATTCACAGGCAAAAACTATGTTTAACTGCTCCATGCACGTTAATTTTTCATGGCTCTGTGAAATGAATTGAATTCAAAGACGACGACATATATAGCAAGGTTTTATAGTACTATACGTATACACCTACCAACAATGAAAGAACAAGCTTTCCATCTCCCAGTGTTTGATCTCAACACGGGCCTGCCCTTGAGATCCACACTTCCGTCTTCAGTATACTCCTCTACTGACCCTCTTTCTTCTTCTAGCTTTGACATGGTGAAAGCAAGGATAGGATTAAAGCCTTTGGATCCTATGAAAGATCATGTGGCCTTCTATATATATACAACTTTATATACTGAATCCTCTATAAAATACTAATATTGGGATAAAACAAGTATTTTAAAGAAATTAGCATTAAATTATAAGTAGGACGAACATATAACTTTATAAAATTTTAAGGGGAAAAATATATTATCAAAAAAATATATATATGATAATTTAAATTTTTTTAGAAGGTTACTACCCTGTTGCTCCCTTGAGTCCATCATGATTATAAGTAAATGAATAAATTATATAATATCTAATTAAAAAAAATGAACATTTGAATGAATAATTTTTCTATTGGAAAAAAAACAATTCTCTCAAACTCATCGACCAGCTTAGCAATTGGAATAGTTATAGATTGTTAATGTGCACAATTTCACTGATGTAGGGATAACTACAAACTTGGACGAATGTGAATGTCAACGGATATCACCATAAATACATACAAATTCTTTTATTTATTTATATCACCTGTTCTTGTATTTTACATAGAACATATCTTGTCTTCCCAATAAGCATCTATGGTGTTGGATTAGTCTGCTCCCAATAGTTGACGTCTGCTACTGTTTCTTTTTTTTATTAATCTCAGGCAAGGCAGAATATTTTCGAAGATAACCTCAACCATTTAACATTGAACACTCACACCTCTGATATTCTTGGTGCTCGAATATGAAACATCAAAAAATAACAACAATTATTTTACTACTGAGATCACTCGGTTCTTCTTTTCCTTTAGAGTAGGACGTCTGCTATTTTCTTTAGGCTTAAGCCTTGATTTGGTCTTTAAAGTATATTGTTTTTCCTAATTTAGTCCCTAAAGATTTTTTAGATCATATCAGGATTTAAAGTAGCATCCGTCAAATGGTTTGGTCCTCTCCTGTTTAAGAAAACCAACAGTTAAAATTCCTCACTGGCTTCTTTTATAGTATTAGGTCAATGCTTGATTTGTTTCATTAAGTATATTGTTTTTTCTTCTTTAGTCTTTAAATTTGTTATTATTAAAATTCATTAAAATAATTGTGTTTTGATATCTATTGTGTTGGTAAAATAGACTGCAAAACCACACCGTTAGCACTGACAGGAAAGATAAACAGTAATTGAAAAAGAACATATTGGTAAACCGTGCCGTGGTATAACCACTGCCTTAAAAACGAATTCGCCCCGATGTGTGTAATCGCTGCAGTAGGCGGACCGTCCCCTGAGGTTAACACGGTCGATCCGAATTTCGTACTCCCAAAACTGGAGTGGATTGCTGATGGTATTGCACTTCTGATCAGAAAGAACACAGAGAGAACTTTAGAAAACACTTGGAGAGTGAATTCTGAAATGTTGAGAGTGAGTTGAGAAGCTGAATATAAATCTCTATTTATAGGCTAGAAATAGAGTTAAAATCGTCCATAAAAAACCAGGATTAAATCTCTTCTTTGTAACAGCTGAAACGTCTAGATGAACCTGACTCAGAAATAATCCAGGTTCATTGCATCATTATTCAGGTGTTATAACTCCCGAAATTATATCATGTAACCCCTGGAATTAAATTAAACCAAATAACTCCTGTAACTCCTGATATTATCAGCTTGTCCCCTTTGTACAAAGCTGGTACTAGCGAACTAAATAAAGCAGGTACTAGCTCAGCAAGGAAGTGGGAAATCCAAACCATAAATGCTCATTCCCAATAATATTTCCAATACTACGTGGGATTTAACATTACCAACATATTGTATGATACTACTAAAATAATTTGAGGTTCTATTAGATTGGGTCAATGCTATGACTAGTGAACTAAATAAAGCAGGTACTAGCTCAGAGCCTGGGGATGCTATTCCAAATGAGGTGCAGCAACAAACTTCTGGTTCGGTGCAATGGAGACGAAACACGGCTTTTGAAGGAGAGTCGGAAGGGGCTCGTTAGGCTTGATCCCACGGTTATTTCTCTTCTATCTTCCGGTCTTCATGGTTAAAGCTATTTTCTGAAATACTCAAGGCATTCTTAACCTTGTCTTTAATCGTTACTTCAAGTTATTGTTGAGATTTCATAAACCTGATATTGTTGCAATTATGGAACCATGTGTAAGTGGTGGTCGTGCTGATGATTTCATTAAATACTCGGTTCTTTTATGCTACAACTCTGAACAGAAGAAAATGAATTATATTTTATAATCATATTCTGCATCTTGATGTATTTGGTGTTTAGATTGTTTGAAGGGGGAAAACCCCATCATTTTTTTTTCTAGAATTAAGATAAAATATAAATGTTGAAGGTTAAATTTATTGTTATGTTAATTCTGTTAATAATATGATGGGTTATTTCTAATGAAAAAGAATAATTTATAGTTTTTAAAGGTTTATATTACAAATAAAAATTTAAAGTATATTATTTTTGTTTAAATATTTAAAGTATTTTTTTATCAGAGTAAATACCTAAAATTATCATTCTGATCAAAACAAGTACCTAAGATATTTTTTGATTAAAATAGATAACTAAAGCATACTATCTTTTTCATTTAAATACCTAAAATATTCTTTAATTAATACCAAGTATCAACTTTTTTATAATTTAGATGAAAAATAATTCATTGATAACCCACACTAACCTACAGGCTTGAATCTCTAAAAAGTATAACAACTCATAATCTTTTGAGAGTACTACATTCCCTTCAACTTGAATTTCTAGAGAGAACAATATTTCTTTTAACCCTTATGTTATTTAATGAATTTATTTTGGTTAAAAATTATTTTAGGTATTTAGATATATATATATATATATATATATATATATATATATATATATATATATATATATATATAATAAAAGCCTTGTGTAAGTCTATTAATCATATTGTAACTTTTTAAAGTCGGGAGATTATAAAATATAGTGGGAAGAGTCTTTGTGTATTTTACACATTTAAACTAAATTAACACAATAGCTTGACAACTAGAAATTTCTGCAAAAATATCCAAGAATGAACAACTTTTGATAGAAAATAAAACACTGATTTCTTGCAGGCAGAGTCTTGTGTATAGATTTTGAAGGCAGAGTTATAGAGCTCTAATTTTGTGCCCTGCTTTGCTATTTTTGGCTTCTTCTCTACCATCCTTAGTTCCAGTGTTTGTTCAAATTTTATAGAAAATAAAAGCACATTAGGTGGAAAAATGGGCACAGAAATCGATTTCAGCTGAAGTTTCAAGACAGGTAGTAAATGGAATTTGGGAGCTTGAATGTTCTCTTTGCCTCTGGCAGCCCCTTTATGCTGCTCCATTGATCTCCAACGATTCCCCATATGCGGTATCCTTGATCCACTAACTTCTTCCTTGCCAGGGCCTTGTATTGCTCCACATGCATGTATTCATCATCAAGGCCCCTTCAATTCATTCAAAAACATCGGATCAACAACTAGGAAACTGCAGTTTTTGAAATCGAAACTCGAGAATTTTGGTCAAGTTGCATTTGCATACCTTAAGATGAGACTAGCCCATCCATGGTATCCAACCTTCATGAGGTTGTCGACGGTCGAAGATCGAAGGGTTTCTTTTCTTGAAGAGACTAGAAAGATTTTGATCCCTTTGTCTTTGATCTCATGGAAGAGCCTGAATGTGTGGTCTAGAGCTGGTGCCTTGCTCTCTTTCATCCATGCCTCCAAAGAAGATGAGTTCACCTTCTCTCCCCTGGTTTTGTTCATCAGAATCATATGTGATCAAGCGTTGAACAATGACCATGTCAATAAGGACATAGTGGACTAGGGTGGAAAATTTGACACTTACCCAAAACCATGTTTCTTGAAGTAAGGGATGGTGGAGATCAGGGTGTCGTCGACGTCGAAAATCCATGCATCTTTGCCGTCACCTTTCAATGAGCAGCAGCGGCTCAAGTATAGTTTCACTTCCTCGATTGCTCGCTCGGAGTCGGCCGCATACTGAGACGAAGTCATGTACTTCTTGATGTGATTGACGCATTCTTGGGGAACTGCTTCGAACTCCCTTATGTTGTTCAGCTCCACATTGATCCTCCAACTTTCACAGTAGTTCTTCCAGGGATCTTGTTTTGCGTCGAGTCTCCATTTCGGGTTCAAAATGTTCCAGTCGGCGGCTGCGAGGCCGATGAAGAGGCATGTCAATGCCAGAAGGAGCAAAGTTTTCCTTGCCATTTTGCAGAGTCTAGGTGAGGAATGAAGATTGAGATGAATTCGGAACGTTGAGTGAGGGGCATAAAAAGGGAAGCATCACATGGGAGGTGGGGTCTGGGCCCTGGAATGGAGCCATAATCCAGCCTTGGATAACCACATGCAATGGTTATTTATTAAATGAAAGATGGTATATTAGTTGAGGGCTAATGGATATACGGACAAACCAAATGTGAATCAAAATTATGGTGTCCAACGCATATTTCCACGTCATGCCATTTGTGATCCCAGCTGGCATGTCCCAAGTTAGAAGGCACATCAATAAGCATAATTTAAGTAATATCAGGAATTTGAATATTGATGTTACAATATGTGAATGAAAAAAATTGAATTAAAATGCTCATTCTATAATAGATCTCAGCAACACCCACAACCTAAATCAGTTGATCAATAAATCAAATACACGGTTTAAAAAACAACCACGATTTTATTTTCAGCCTTGGATGCCCTATACGATTGCTGGTTTCTCAGCAATTTCAGGGCCAATAGGAAATAGTATGTCCCGCAATTCATGCCATCAAACACGGGAAGAAAATTACGCGATTGGATGCAATTAAATATTCTTTCATACCTGGAAACTAAAGTGCTTGGATGCATGATGGAAACAGCATCGTTGGGAGAGAATGCAATCATTTCAAACATTTAAACCCAGAAACTGCTTTTTGTTTTTGTCACCCAAAAAGGTGTCCCTATGTTTCAATGCTTGACAACTGTGTTTTAGATATACAGTCTGAAGGTTCTACCACGGAACTAATTACAACGGTTATATCATAGGGAACCCAATTAAGATAACAGAAAACAAAAGGATTGATGTAGTTTATTTGGAAAGATGAGAGCCAAAAGTTCGTTGTGTTGAACTCAGTTCACGCGAAAACCCGTCGTCGAAGTTGTGAGAATAGATGTGGAAGTCATACCCGAACTGCGTGCTGCTTCTTTGCAGTCTCATAGCTTTCCTCCATTGTGACTTGAGCTTCAAAACAAATTGCTTCAACACATGTAACTTTGAGCAGCAACACAAAGTCGGCCGTCTTTCTACACCGATAAGCTTGACTGCATACTCATCACTTGCTACTTTCTTCTCCCACTTCATGATCTGTGTTTTCATAATTTTCAGTTATAAGAACTCACCCTTTATATCCACTCAAAGTAAAAGCAACAAGAATAAGATATATCGTTTCAAGGACAGCATGAATGGAGCCTTTGGTGCATCTAACTCCCCTACCAAAAGACATCGCTGACTAAGATGTTAGATGGCAGTTAGCCATTTGTCTGAAATCAGAACCACAACCACTCAATGTTCTTTCCACTTTGCTTTTACCATCATTCCTAGGTCATCCATTGTCTCAACTTGGATAAAGAAGTAGTGATATGATGTCTGAGATGAGGCTAACCTTCCAAAAAGTTGCTTATGTTTATCATGTGTGCTTTCTCTTCAGGTTTACGCAATAAGAATTTTCTGGGGAAAATCTAAAAAAATGATGAAAAGAGAGACTAAGAGTAGGTTTGCTATGATTAAAAGTTTGTACCGTCCATGCCCAAGTCTAACCCTTCTAGTGCCGAAAGGAGAGGCAAAGAGAGAGAAGCAGTGAAACAGTTACCCTTATAGTGCCCAAGTCTAATCCTGTTCCCCCCCCCCATAACTTGACAGGAGAGTTAAGAAGGCCCACAAATAGGATCGTAAATGGGCCTAGTTGAGCTTAAAACAAGTCGAGTTAGAGTATTATTAAGATCGACTCGATTCGAAAAATTTAAAATTTAATTCAACTCAACTCGAAAACTCTAAAATTTAAAATTATCAAATTTGACTCAAACTTGAAATAAAAAATTGAAGTTAGACTAGAACTTGAAAAAATTAAACTCAAAACATTCTAAAACTTAGTTTGATCGAAGCTCAAACTCAAAAACATTCTAAAACTTGTTTGATTAAAGCTCAAACTCAAGCTAAACATGAACTTTAAATACATGAAAACCTTATATTGCATTTAATAAAATAAAATATTTAATATTATTAATAATATAAAAAATTAAACTCAAAACATTCTAAAACTTAATTTGATCGAAGCTCAAACTCAAAATCATTCTAAAATTTGTTTGATTGAAGCTCAAACTCAACCTAAACATGAACTTTAAATACATAAAAACCTTATATTGCATTTAATAAAATATAAAATTTAATATTATTAATAATTTTAAAAATTAAAAAATTTAATATATTATTTTCTCAAGTTGCTCATGAGCTTTTCGAGTTGAGTATCAAACAATCTGCTCTGGCTCATTAAGAAGTCAAGTTGAGTTCGAATTTGAATCGGATTCTTTTGATTTTGGTGTTAACTGAACTTTAACCAAATTAAACTCAAATAGCTTGCCATAATCTCATCTCATTCACAGCTCTTTCCACAAAGATGTGAGAATATCTTGTGAGGCAGATAATGCATTGTCAGATCAATACTGAGCAATAATAAGCAGTAACAAAAAACAGGCACCAGCATCAACGCTTTATGCAACTTTAAGTCAATAAGTTTCATCATTTATTTGAAGAAAGCTAAAAACAATAACTTCGTCTTCATATGTATATGCTTGGTGTTTTACATAACTTTTTTTTCAAATTTATTCTCCCTAGCTGAGGTCCACATACATTTAGGGCTGAACACGATATTGAATATCAAAATTTAGATCAAAAGTAGCTCTCACTACAAGTATATAAAAATGAAATGAGATTTTTCAGCAATGGATATAAGAAAGAAAAAGGGAACCTTATTTAGGATCAGCATGATAAATTACAGTTATCGAACACCGCATGCCGCCGCCGCGTATTATTTGAGAGCCACAAACATGAAAGATGTAGAGACACCAGATTCTCTCAGCAAGTTCACCTGGAAATACAGCATACTAAGATATTTTTGTACAAATCTTCCTCCATCCCAAAAGTTAAAGTTTCTTCCATTATCCAAAAATGAAAATGTCCATCGATTTGATGTCCAATATACAAACAAAGATCATAGCGAACTATTTCAATTCATTTAGGTAACACGCCCATGCCAATGGCTGATATCATACCTATGACTTTCATAAAACATGATTCTAATGATGGTAGCAATAGAACCCATTGAGTGGCCTGTGGTAAAGAGAAGTGTTGTTTTCCCTAAAGATTATGGGTTCGAGCAGTTACGTCTGTAGGGTGTGCATGTGTTGTCAATAGACATACTCAGTTCATTTATATTCATAAACATGCTCAATTAACAAATCACTTGAAGCTTTTTTAAAACTCGTTTATTGTAAGATTATATAATTACTTATTGTTGTGTGTATTAATTTTATTTATCCATTTTAATATTTTATATAAAAAATAATAAATATGTTTATTTATAGTTTCTATGTTTATATTATTCATGAACATGTTAGCAAAAATATTTATTCAATGTTTAAAAACAAATTTATTTAATTTAAGCGAAAGAACACGAACACTTATAGTTCTAAATAAATGAACATGAATACAATTTTGAAATTCATGATGAACAAAAACAAAAGATAAACAAGCTTAAAAATAAACAAACGAACATGAACAAATGCCCAATCGTTCAAGTTCAGCTCATTTACAGCCCTAGACAAAAGAGAATGTGCATTCAAGTAGCAAAAGCCAATCTTCTTTTAATCATAAATCAGTCAATAACTGCTTATGTCAACAAAAACTACCAGATAAGCAGATTCTAAGCAAAAAAGGCAATTGCCTTTTGTCTTAATTTTCACATGCAGGGTGTACAAGCAAATAATTAAAATTGGGTATCATATTTAACAGTGAGGGTTGACTGACAGCATTGACAAAATTGTATGCAAACCATGTATAAGTAGGAAATAAATTTGAGTCTTTAAGTTTTAGACTGGTTATTCAACAAAGCTTTCTCAACCCTACTTGGAACAATACTATAAGGCCACCTGCTAACAGCTAAGTTAATCTTGTGGGATTTTTGGTATATAGCCATTTTAGGTTCCTGACACAGTAAGGAATGTAAAATTTACACTGCAAGAAGTGGAGTCTATATAAAAGCATCCATGAGGAGTATATGGATATGAGAAGTAATATACTCACAGTCCTTGTGCTCATTGCTATCTTGAATACAATTGCAGCATCTGCAAGACAACATATATAGGAATTGAGATGTAAAGGCATTCCCTTAACTTACACATTTGAGACATATTATAATAAATAATTAAAAAAAATTGAGTTACATATGCCAAACCTTATCATCGAAGGCTTTCCTTTAAATTGAAGCTCAATTTCACTCAAGTAAACTCTAAATAAGGTTGGCCTGCAATTCCAGTTACAACCATCTTGAATCATGGAGCAAGCAAACTACAAGCACTCTGAGAAGTGTCCAATGATCCAATGGAAACTGACTCCTTCCACCATCGATTTACTAAATACGGACAAGATTTCTACTTCAAATATGATTTCTGCCATTACGTTCGTTGGGTAGGTATACACAGTAGGCATTATATTTAAACTAATGCAACTTTGTGCAATCTCCAAAAATTTAAACAAGCATAAACGAAGTGTTATTGTTCACAATGCGACATGTATAAGATGTCCTAATTATCTGTTACAACAGATGGTTCATATTATTCAAAGCCTCACACAGAGATTAATAGTACCAGAATGTAAGTGAAACTGCTGCCAGAGCTGGAGATGATTTCCACAATAGATGAATTTGACCGCCCAACAGTCGAGTCAGATAATCAAGAATACCACCTTCCTAACTTAGACATCCAAAATAAACAATAAATAGCGATGCAAACTACAAGATTAGAAGAAATAAAAAGATGGATTTGGAGCTATAGTCCAATATAACAACATTCAATTAATACTGCTCAAATAGGCAAATACTGTAACTTCAGAGCAAATTTGCACTACAACTGAAGATATAAAATATAGTTTTTCTATTTCAGGGGCAAAACAAATTCATTTCACTCTATCTCAATATTATGTTACAGATGCACAAATTGCATAGCATAACATATTCAATATGCTTACTAAAGATGTCCAATAGGTGACAGAAGAAGAACTACAAAGATTTGATCCTTCTTGGAGAAATGGCTTTTCTGCTATAGCTAACAAAAACAATGAGGCTGATAGTAGCTTTCT